ATCAAAAGACATCGAGTGGCTGAATGGATAAAAAAACATGACCCATATATTTGCTGTCTACAAGAGACCCACCTCAGAATAAGGGACTCACACAGACTGAAAGTGAAGGAATGGAAAAATATCTTTCAGGCAAATGGAAATGAAAAAAAAGCCAGGGTAGCAATACTTATATTGGACAAAATAGCCCTCAAAGTGAAGGCCATAACAAGAGGTAAGGAAGGCCACTTCATAATACTAAAGGGATTGATACAACAAGAGGATATAACCCTGATAAACATATATGCACCCAATGCAGGAGCACCCAAATACATAAAAAAAAACTCCTGGAAGATATCAAGGGAGAGATCGACAACAATACAGTCATAGTAGGGGACTTTAATACACCACTGACATCGCTGGATAAATCCTCCAGACAAAAAATCAGCAAAGAAACAGCAATCCTAAATGACTCACTAGATCAGATGGACTTAATTGACATCTTCAGAACATTTCACCCCAAAGCCGTGGAATATACCTTCTTCTCAAGTGCACATGGGACATTTTCAAAAATAGACCACATATTGGGTCACAAGCAAAGTCTCCACAAATTCAAAAAGATTGAAATCATACCAAGCATCTTCTCAGACCACAATGGCATAATATTAGAAATAAACTACAATAAAAACAACCCAAAATACTCAAACACTTGGAAGCTGAATAGCATGTTATTAAATATTGATTGGGTTACCAATGAGATCAAAGAAGAAATTAAAAACATCCTGGAAACTAATGACAATGAAAACACAACAATCCAAAACCTATGGGACACAATGAAAGCAGTCCTGAGAGGGAAGTTTATAGCTCTACAGGCCTACCTCAAAAAACAAGAAAAAATGGTAGTAAATCACCTAACTCTACATCTCAAAGAATTAGAAAGAGAGCAACAAGAAAAGCCCAGAGTGAGCAGAGGAAGGAGATAATAAAAATTAGAGCAGAAATAAATAACATAGAGATCAAAAAAACAATACTTAAAATCAATGAAACCAAGAGCTGGTTCTATGAAAGGATAAACAAATTGATGAACCTCTAGCCAGGCTCACTGAGAAAAAGAGAGAGGACCCAAATAAACAAAATCAGAAATGATCGAGGCGAAATAACAACAGACCCCACAGAAATACAAAGGATTGTTAAAAAATACTATGAACAACTCTACTCCAACAAACTAGACAACCTGGAGGAAATGGACACATTCCTAGAAAAATACAACCTTTCAAAACTCAATCAGGAAGAATCTAAAAATCTCAATAGGCCAATAACTATGGAAGAAATTGAAGCAGTCATCAAAAAGCTTCCAGCAAACAAAAACCCAGGGCCAGATGACTTCACAGGGGAGTTTTACCAAACATTCAAGGAAGAACTAAAACCTATCCTCCTCAGACTACTACAAAAAATTCAAGAGGAAGGAACACTTCCAAGCTCATTCTATGAAGCCAGCATCACCCTAACACCAAAACCAGGTAAAGACAACACAATGAAAGAGAATTATAGGCCAATATCCCTCATGAACATAGATGCCAAAATCTTCAACAAAATCTTAGCAAATCGGATCCAGCAGTACATCAGAAAGATCATACACCATGACCAAGTAGGATTTATCCCAGGGATGCAAGGATGGTACAATATCCGCAAGTCAATAAACGTGATACATCACATAAACAAATTGAAAAAAAAAAACACATAGTCATATCAATTGATGCAGAAAAACATTTGACAAAATCCAACACCCATTTTTGATAAAAACTCTCAGCAAAGTGGGACTAGAAGGATCATACCTCAACCTAATAAAAGCCATATATGACAAACCCACAGCCAACATCATACTCAATGGACAAAAACTAACACCATTTCCCCTAAGAATAGGAACAAGACAGGGATGCCCACTCTCACCACTCCTGTTCGACATGGTACTGGAAGTATTAGCCATTGCGATTAGACAAGAAGAAGAAATAAAAGGCATCCAAATTGGAAAAGAAGTAGTAAAACTGTCCTTATTCATAGATGACATGATATTGTACATAAAAAACCCTAAAGACTCCATCAAAAAACTATTAGACTTAATAAATGAATAGGCAATTTAGCAGGATACAAAATTAACGCCAAGAAATCTATGGCATTTCTATACACCAATAGTGAACTTACAGAAAGAGAGACCTAAAAAGCAATTCCATTTACCATCGCACCAAAAAAATTAAGATACCTAGGAATGAACTTAACTAAAGAGGTAAAAGACCTCTACTCAGAAAACTACAGGATGTTGAAAAAAGAGATAGAGGAAGACATAAACAGATGGAAGACCATACCATGTTCATGGATTGGTAGAATCAACATCATTAAAATGTCCATACTACCCAAAGCAATCTATAAATTCAATGCACTTTCCATTAAAATACCAACGGCATATTTCACAGACCTAAAACGAACTCTCCAAAAATTCATCTGGAATAAAAAAAGAACCTGAATAGCTGCAGCGATCCTGAGAAAGAAAAACAAAGTAGGTGGGATCTCAATACCAGATATCAAGCTGTATTACAAAGCCACTGTTCTCAAAACTGCCTTGTACTGGCACAAGAACAGACATATAGATCAATGGAATAGAATAGAGAGCCCAGAAATCGACTCGAACCAATATGCTCAATTAATATTTGACAAAGGAGGCAAGAACATACAATGGAGCCAAGATAGTCTCTTCACTACATGGTGTTGGGAAAATTGGACAGATATATGCAAGAAAATGAAACTAGACCACCAACTCACACCATACACAAAAATAAACTCAAAATGGATAAAGGACTTAAATGTACGACAGGAAATCATAAATATTCTAGAAGAATCCAAAGGCAACAAAATCTCAGACATATGCCGAAGCAATTTCTTCACTGATATAGCTCCTAGGGCACTTGAAACTAAAAAGAAAATAAACAAATGGGACTACATCAAAATAAAAAGCTTCTGCACAGCCAAAGAAACCATCAACAAAACAACAAGAAAACCCACTGCATGGGAAAACATATTTGCCAATGTCATATCTGATAAGGTACTAATCTCCAAAATTTATAGGGAACTCATACAACTTAACAAAAGGAAGATAAACAATCCAATCAAAAAATGGGCAAAGGACCTAAATAGACACCTTTCAAAAGAGGACATTCAGAAAGCCAAGAGACATATGAAAACATGCTCAAAGTCACTAATCATCCGAGAGATGCAAATCAAAACAACAATGAGGTACCATCTCACACCTGTCAGACTGGCTATCATCAACAAATCAACAAAGAACAAGTGCTGGAGAGGATGTGGAGAAAAAGGAACACTCGTGCACTGCTGGTGGGAATGCAGACTGGTGCAGCCACTATGGAAGACAGTATGGAGTTTCCTCAAAAAACTAAAAATGGAACTCCCATTTGACCCTGTGATCCCACTTCTAGGAATATATCCCAAGAAACCAGAAACACCAATCAGAAAGGATATATGCACCCATATGTTCATAGCAGCACAATTCACCATAGCTAAGATCTGGAAACAGCTTAAGTGCCCATCGTAGATGAATGGATTAGAAAACAATGGTACATCTACACGATGGAATACTATGCTGCTGTAAAAAAGAAGGAACTCTTACCATTTGCAATGGCATGGATGGAACTGGAGAGCATTATGCTAAGTGAAATAAGCCAGTCAATGAAGGAAAAATACCACATGATCTCACTCATTCATGGATAATAAAGACCATTATAAACTTATGAACAATAATAGATACAGAGGCAGAGCTGCCTCAAACAGATTGTCAAACTGCAGCGGGAAGGCCGGGTAGGGTTGAAAGGCAGGAGGGAGGGGGGTAAGAGATCAACGGAAGGACTTGTATGCATGCATATAAGCATAACCAATGGACATAAGACACTGGGGGGTAGGGGAGGCCAGGGGATTGTCAAGGGCGGGGGAGAAAAAAAAGGACACATATGTAATACCCTTTGTAATACTTTATGCAATAAAAAAAAATTAAAAAAAATAAAGTTGTTATTTTCAATAGAAAGAAGAAAAAAAAAAGAAAGCCAGACAGGCATGGTGCCCAGCCGTTTGTTTTTTTTTTTTACTTTTACAAGTGAAAGATATTCTATTTTTTTAAATATATATTTTATTGATTTTTTTACGGAGAGGATGGGAGAGGGTGAGGAATAGAGAGTTAGAAACATCGATGAGAGAGAAACATCGATTCAGCTGCCTCCTGCACACTCCCTACTGGGGATGTGCCCGCAACCAAGGTACATGCCCTTGACGGGAATCGAACCTGGGACCCTTCAGTCCGCAGGCCGATGCTGTATCCACTGAGCCAAACCGGTTAGGGCGAAAGATATTCTAAAGCATTATCTCAAGAAAATAGTTTTTCATTTCTTATTCAGAAACTTCATTATAGTCTATGTGTCAGGCACAATTTAGTACAAAAACAAAACTAAATTATTAACCTATTTTGTGAAAGCTAAACCAATCTGCATTGTTTCAATAAGCCATTGTTACTAGAGTGCCAAACAGATATTAAACAACAAAACATTATCAAAAATGTATTTCCTTTTAGATGACAGATAATCATTGCAATGACTGGAAAGTGATTTTCTAGCAAAGAAGCGGCCCCGAGAAGAAAGCTGATCGCCCGAGGAATAAGCTGGGGAAGTGCCAGCAAGGACCCCTCCCGGGCGGGCTGAGCTGACCCTGAGCCCCGGCCTCCTGGTCCAGCCCGAGGCTCCTCCGGACCCCTGTGGGTCGCTCTACACGAGCCACAACTCGGGGAGGAGCGCGGCAGCCCCGGCCGGCCCACCCCTCCCGGTCGGTCACCCCTCCCGGCCCCCTCCTCCCCAAGCCCCCTCCTCCTGGCCCTCTCCTCCCGCGTCCCGCCTCCCTCCCTCCCAGCGCCGGTCCGGCTCCGCCTCCCGCACAGCAGCGTGTCCCGCACCTCCTAGGGCGCCGCAACCATGGCTGCTGATGGGCGGATGAGCGCTCGCCTCTACTTTGAAGAAAGCACTTTTGATGTATCTCCTGAAATTATCGTGGTTTCATTTACCATAGAATGCGCGCTATTGTGCCACACACCCCATAGAGTTTCAGCTCGAGAGGTAAGGTTGTTTAAGAAGAAGAACGTAGAGCTGTTATTTAACTATCTTAAGTGGCAGTGGGGACTCCAGTCTTGTCTATTCGTTAGGAGATTTCGGGAGAGACTCTATGTTGACGGAGCGCATCTCCAATTTCTCTCGACTTCATCTCTGCCTACAAAAGGCAGTTTTGGGAATGTCCCT